AAAAATATTGTTGGTTTTTACTTATGAATAATACTACAACAGGGATAGTAAATAACAAAGTTAATGAAGTATTATTAATATAATACAACTAATATTAACTTTATTTGTCCCACAAGGGAAACTGTTACTAATGATGGAAATAAACTGAAATATTGTAATCAACTGTTATCCATACGTATTCATTTTAATAATCTTTATAATAATTCATATGATTTTACATGTGGCCTGAGAAAATCATGTCTATTATTTTGATTTGTGAGATCGGAGATCGCGCTGCGTACGTGTACAAACATTCAGGAGGACACAAACTTCTTGAGAATGCTGCCCTGTGACTTTTATTAATAAAATAGATTAAATAGCCTACTGGAGAGACGCACAGACACATGTAGGCTAATTCACACAGGCAACTGTCACCGCTCTCTCTCAAATAATTAATTCAAGTAGCTAAATGTTATAATGAATTAATTCAAATAAATGTGATCTTACCGCACTATTTAATCTCTTTCTGATCTGAAGCGGGTAGCTTCATAACGAGCTGTAGCTTCGCGTGAGGTGGTTCTTGCCTTCACGTCGTGCATTAAAATCGTTCAATGTACAGCAAGCCGTGCATTATCCCTTATGTATTCGCTCTTTAGCAGCAGTTTTTTACAGCTATATTTAAATGACACCCTGGTCATTCTTGGTGTACCCAAAATGGTCCCACACTATCGACAGGCATTTCTCTGGTAGAAATAAAGCTTTGCTGTTTGGTCCCTCTGTCACTGTTCATCTAATGCATGTAGTAGCCTCCGTGCCTTTCACGTCATTTTAAGCTGGTGCACCGCTAGTGTAACTTTGTTTTCATTTTGCGCAAGCTGCAACAGTTCCGTTCCGTGTAACAGAAACACTCGGTTTAGCGGAACCCTTACGATTAATTAACCGTGACGTTTTAAAGCGTGGTTAATCGCGAAACCGGTTAATCGCTGCATCCCTAACGACACCAGAAAGAAGTCATTTTATGACATTTAAAAATTACACGGTAAAAAAGATAAATGTAAAAAATGAAATTGTATGAATGAATTGTAGCGATGAAATCAATAACACGCATTTTGAAAATATACTACCAAAAAAGGATTTACTTGAAAAACTATTTTCATTCATAAATTGCTGGTAAATTTCACAAATAATTACAAAGAAACAGCAATAAACACATTTAATTAAATGTGAAATTTTGAAGTAGAAAGACTAAAACAGCACTTTCTTGAAAAATTTACTCAAATCATCTTTATTTACAACTATTTTTCACAGTGTCTATAGGGTGAATTTCTATTTAATGTCAAATTTAACGCTACTGTAAGTAATCAATCAATTCATTCAAATCTTGATTCTCAAAAAACCTGACACAGCAATATGGGCACAACCAATGTGTGATTTCGGGATGGGACTTTTCGAAAACATTCATTACTTTTGTCATTCTGGTGAAATTACACATTTCACCTTTAATGATGCATTGTAGTACTGTGAAAGTGAAGTCAAGTGTCTTACCTCGTCTCTATAAGATACACTGTATAAGTCTCCTGCATATTGACGGCATTCTTCCCAGTCCTCTTCTCTGCTTCAGCCACACTGATCTCCATCTTCTTCAGAAGACTTGTCTTCAATTATTTTAACATTTTGAACAGCAGATCTACTGTTTTGTCATATAAAACAAATTTTAACTAATACAGTATCATTTTATAAAATAAAACTGCTTAATATATACATAAATATTTGCTAAATATGTTTAATATACATTAAGCAATTATATACTTTTTGGTTTATTATTGCATTATATTATTATTACAATTATGTTTTTAATTTACTTTTATTATACAAAACTGCTTAAAATACTGCTTATATGTACAATATATGTAGTTATATGTATGTTTTACTATTTAGTGTTTTAATAACACTCCTGAGGGTGGTACTAGAAAACATCCCAAATATTATAAATTATACCTGGCGTAAGATTTGTAGTATCATACTTATGAATTACAAACAGGGAACAAAAGGGGAAACTTGCTTGAGTGCAAACCAAATAATCGCAGGCCAGCATCTCTTGTAAGCATGCAGCCATTGGTTTTCCCATAAGCTCTGAGGGGTTGTGCCTCAAACTTGGCCAGTATGAGCGCTCCTGTCTTCAATATATTTCTGCAGCAGTTGCTGCAGAGTTTAATTACTTTAAAGTTTATAGAACGGGGGCTTTTGTGCTTAGCCTTAAGTTTTTTCTTCTTCAGTTTTTCTCTCTTTCTCTGTTGTCTCTATCTCCCTTCATGCTCCCCCCTCCCCCTCTCTCTCTCTCTCTCTCTCTCTCTGTTGTATATTTTGATGGTTGGCATCAGCGGACATCTGGGAGTCTGTGCCTCTGCTCTTTCCTTTAATACTGTTTACTGTAAGATCGCTGAACTCCTTCAGCAAAAAGGCTCCCACCCCTCATCTGCTTTTAATAAACAATTAATATTGTCATGATGTGGTAGTATCAGGACAGAGGAGACAGTGTGCGTGGGAAGGAATTCAGGCTTATCCCACTTAACCACAGGAACTCCTGACACTCTCATGAATACACATGCTTTCAGTGATGTGTGCACCAAACCAAATACACCCCAGCACACACATACACACACACCAGGCCATATACTACATTCATCCAAATCCAATTAGAGATTTATGAACTCCAGATGGATCACGTAGCTCAAAGATTTGCTCTTTAATACTGTCTTGATTGCAGCTGTCATTACAGCTTTCATTTTTATAACTCTGCATTGCAATCCGTTTCATCATTGGACCATTTTGACTGCTTTTACTGCACTCCTTAGTTATTTGTGTTTTTAGGCAATACATTTCCCAGGGCCATCATATACACGTTTTGTTTACACATTTCTTTTGAGTTTAGGCCTAATTTATTATTATTATTATTTTATTTATGGTCATACAACTTTCTTGCAATTATGCATTTTTCATTACCTTTATTCATTTTTGTATTAAGTTTATTAAATGAGAGACTGCAATTAATAATATTTATATTACGAAACAAAAAAAACATTCTGCATACCAAAAAATATTTTTTAAAATTCATCAGCCTATTGTAAAATAAAGGTGGTGGAAAAATCAAACAAACACACAAACATATTCTGTACATATTTACCATGTTATATATCATTATCATCATTATTTGTCAGCTACCTATAGTACACTATAAGAAAAAATGTACTAAATGCCGCCTAGTATTGTTATACTGTGTAAACTATGAAATCTTGTCAGCTGTCCTTATTGCAGTGTTGCAGGCGCAGAGTTTCACCCTCATAAAGACCAACCTCTGTAAGTGGTGTGACCACTCAAGTCCTGTATGTGAAGACAACGTCTGCATGAGCAACTGCAGTCTGACCTCTTACTGTACTCTGGCTGAAGAAGTGTGCGTAGCGATATGGTAAGTCCATAGCTAAATTTGAAGCATGCGTATGTGACATGCATTGAAAATTTAGTTTGATAGTGTGAACTTTGTTCTCTGTATGAATACACAAGTATTCCCTGTTCTCACACACTTAAATAGCTTAAAGAACTTCTGATAACTTCAATAATAGTCTTTTTAGAGGCAGCATAAATGCCTATATAACTACTGTAACTACTATGTACAGTATTAAACAACAATAAACAAGACATATGTCATGTACAGTATTTATTTTTATAGTATACTGTACTGACAAAACGAATAATGTGCATCTTTTAACTACACTTCGTCATATGAACACTCAGCAACTGCACTGATTTAATTAGTTGTAAGTTAGTTAGTAGTTAATTGATTGTAAGCTGCATGTGTTTGATTCACTAAACAGAACTGGCCCATTAGAGTAATTTATTTTGTTCAGGAGTTGGTGTTCACTGGTTGCGCTTGATGTTTTTGATTTATTAAAAAGAGCCCTCAGACTGTATTTATTTGATTCACCTATTGAAATAAAGCAATAAGCCCCAAGAAGCTGTGGTTTACATTGAATTTATAACAGCTAAGGGGCGTTGTTAAGCTCGACGTGAAGCGGAGTTATTCCATATACGTAGTAAGGTTTCACAAAATAAAACCGAGCAAATAAAGTGTAATGATATTAATAAAAACATTATTCTTCCGCCAAACAATGTAGTTCCTCAGAATCGGTTGTGGTTGCAACAAAGTGCACACAAACGTAAACAAAGGTGTGTGTTCGTAGAGTAATTTACAACAGCTTCAAACGTGGCTCAGCCAATCAGAATCAAGGACCGGAACCATCCGTTTTATAATCATTTATTTTGTTCGGTAGTCAGACTTTCCTGGTGGTGCTAGATGTTTTTGATTCATTAGAAAGAACCTCAGTCTGTATTTGTTTGATTCACTAAAAGCAACCGGCTCAATAGATTCATTGGTTTGGGAGTCGGACTTCAGTGGTTGTTCTAGATATTTTCATTTTGATTCCTTAAAAAGAACCGATCTATAAGACTAATTTGTTGGAAATCAGTGGCCACGCTTTATAAGTCAATAAGTAGTACAGAAAACTCTGTCAGGAATATTTCAGTATGGTGTTCATTAACAGAAGAATCCACATGTGAGTACCATTATCTGGATAAAATATGTTCTACAAGGTTTGCAATTAAATTGGCAGTACGTTTCAATACAGTTGCACTGAATATGGACTTGGGATCTGTGGTGTAATATGGGTCGCCTTTTAAGAGATCTCCTTGTAAGCCAGTTCCATCCTGCTCAGTCTATGAACAGCTTCTTGGAGAAGCCAATCGAGGTGAACTCTGAGTGACTGCAGTAGAGGCAAGCTGTGCATAAAAAGAGAGACTCTTCTCTGAGGGGGTCAAACAAAGACTCACCTAATGCTGGATTAACAGCAAACACATTTATAACCCTCAGAAAATGTTAGACTCTGGCATAAAGAACAAAGTGCACCTCTGAGCAGGGATTCCCTGGTTAAATTGTATTCTACATTTCATCAGAGGAACATAAAAATAATTTTTTCTTGAGCCTGTGTTTATCTCTCTGAAGAATCGGGTCACTTTTTTGACAACTGAAGAGTTTTTTTTTTTTCTCACAGGAAGAAGGACAATGTGAGCGTGAGTGTGCGGACACTGTGTTATAACCCTCAGGATATGCTGGAGAACATAATGCTGGCAAACTACTCCTCTAAAGAGTGTTTGATGACACCTCAGCACTCTGAAGATGGCCTGCTCTTCATCTGCGGCTGTATCGGAGATCATGAGTGCAACGACAGACTCATCTTTGACAAAGGAGTTAATGGTGTGTTCAAATGAATGTTTCAACACTGCTAACATTTTTGGCCAAAACATTTTGCCTTGCGATACAAAACCATGGCTCTGTTCCAAAACCCAGTGAGCTTAGTGTATGTAGGCAGTGTTTTAAGGTATTAAAGCTGCATTATTATGACTATGCTGCCTTGCAAAATTCCTTATATTGGCCCAATTCTAAGGAAGCATCATAGCTTTTTTTAATAGAAGGCATCCGCTGATCCAAGCTATGCATTATTATGTGTCTTTCTAGCAGAAAAGCAGCTCCCATTTATGCCTCCCACTATTTTTACACTGTTATTATGGCTTAACATTATCCGATTGTTCATATGCCAGCCTATAAGCACATAGTGCTTTTGTTCTGCAGGAATGGTTTATGTGAGTGACGGTATTTAATGCCTGTTTTGTATCTGGCTTATACATTTAAGATTCACCATATTAGCACCATCTTCTGTGCAACCATTTTAGGAAAACATTCTAAGCGCCTTTCCTAAAAGCGAGTGTTGAGAGATGTGCAAAATCATCTCTTTTAAGAGTAGCAGGTCAGAAAAGATGAGTTTAAAGGGGTTTTCTGCCTTTCGTCATTGGCTTATCCTGCATCCTCTTTACTCAGATTGCAAACCAGCTCATGTATCAGATGGCTGCACATGGAATAGGTAGGCCTGTGACCCATTTTTGAAACACTGCCTTAGGCAACGCTATGCATAGATAACATGTATGTTCTCACCTAGGTTACTTAAAAGCGTGACATTGATGAGGAGAGAGTGTGAGAAAATAGTAAAATCCCAAAGGCTGGTCATTCACAGCCAGGGGTCAGGCTGATTAGTGCCTTTGCTGGTAGATTCTGTAACTATGCCGTCATGACTTGCCTGTTGATGGCCATTCAAAAATAATCTATCTATGAAATGAGTATACAAGATTTTGTGTGTGTATATATATATATATATATATATATAATAAAGCTGTGCATTTCCTAGTTGCTTATAAGAGTATTTTCAGACATAATTATATGTTTATATATTGCATTTGGATACCCTAGGGAAAAATAAATATACTAAAATATATTTAAAATACACGTATTTCATGCTAAGTGTATTACAAATACATTTATATATTTATGTACTTAATACAAATACCTTGCAATTGTACTTTTGGTGTACTAAACTGGTATACTTAAAGTCTGCTAAATTGGAACAACTAATTTTGTACTTAATGCACTTTAATTGTGTGGAAGTAGTGCTGTAGTCTAACTAAAGATATACTGAATGTGCTAAAGTGGAACTATTGCAAGTATAATTTAAAATATCTTGCTTTTAAAGACCAACATCGTTGGATCATACAGATCATACAGTCCTCATCAATAGTAACATAAAAACACATTTTAGGCCTTAATATTAAGAAATGTGCATTGTGCACATGTAGTACTCCAAATAAAGATTAAATATAATTTTTATATCAGTAAGTATCGAGTGATATGTAAATATGTTAATAGATTTTAATTATACTTGTTATGAAACAAATGTGTTTTACTTTTTTTATTCTAGGGTATATGTTTAAACATTATCAAAGACTGCTTCATTGTGGCTGCATTGTACCCCAACAATTGCTCAATTTCCTATGGCACTCATATCTGACCACAAAGATCTAAGATGTGAAAGATGTGACAATTCTTTTAAGACCATTAAGCCTTTTCTAATCATGTCCAC